AATGCATAATTTTCTCTGTGTTTTAGTGGATTTTTCTGTTTATATGATTTATTTCTAGTTTCTATTTGTTTCCTTCATTGTGGTCTTACTCGGAGTCTGACAGACACTTTGAACACAGTATATAGATTTTTTTCCTGACTGGTCAGTATTTTAATATAAAGAAATCACAGTGTTAATGTGTTAACAACAAAAATAAATTCACTAATAGCTCTCTAAAACAACTGCATTGTTATATGAAAGAACAGCAGGTGCTGGACTACCATAGTTAACGGCTCTGGGTTTGGCTATCACTGTCTTCAGCCCGGGCATGTTATTTTGGACTTCTGGCAATCTTTCCCATAGGAGTGAGTCATCTGTCTTCTATAAACCTCAAACAGGATCCTGTTACGTCATGCTGATTTCTAATAAAAGGAAATATTAGAGTTTCCATTTCTAGTCCACTCCTTGCAACTGAACTGAGGAAAAGACCTTGGTGACATTAACATTCGGTGGGGGAGTGATTGCACATTTCTGAAACGCATCGAAAGAAGAGTTAACATTATACTTAGATGACCTGCATCAATCTCTTTAGATTTGAAAACTATGCTGGGAATTTTAGGACTCAATCATAGAGCCTACAGATACACTAGACAAGTGCTTTACCCCTGAGCTACACCCTCAGCCCCAGCATTTTAAAGTCAACAATCATTTGGAAGCATTACTAAAGGTTCAAATGGATCATACTATGTGGTTAGGTTTTTATTGTCAACTTGACACTACCTAGTGTGACCTGGTAAGAGGAAACCTCAACTGAAGAACTGCATCCATCAGACTGGCTTGTGGTTCTTTCTGACTCATGTGAGGAGGGCTCAGCCCACTGTGGGCAGAACTATTCCTCAGGCAGGTAGTTGTGGGATGCAGAAGCGGGCCAGTGGAGAGGAGAAGCAGCATCCTTCCACGGTCTCTGCCTCAGGTCCTGCTTGAGTTCCTGCCCTGGCTTCCGGGAGTGAACAGACTGTGACCTGTGAGCTGAAATAAGCCCTTTTCTTCCCAGGTTGCTTCCGGTCACAGTGCTTTACTACAGGAACAGGAAGCTCAGCAGACCACACAGATAATACTTTTTTTTTTTTAAAGGCGGAAACTAGACTCATTTCCTGGGATATTCCTTTCAGTTCAATGGGAAACTTCGAGTAGGTGGACCTGGAATATAAAACGGGGAATAGTCCAACTTGAGAAATAACAACTAAGGAAGCCAATAGCCCTGGAAGGACGGAATATGAAATTTAGGAGGCTGGAGGGATGGCTCAGTGGTTAAGAGAACAAACTGCTCGCTGGGCGGTGGTGGCGCACACATTTAATCACAGCACTTGGGAGGCAGAGGCAGGTGGATTTCTGAGTTCAAGGCCCACCTAGTCTACAGAGTGAGTTCCAGGACAGTCAGGGAGACAGGAGAAACCCTGTCTCCAAAAACCAAAAAACCAAAAAACCAAACCAAACCAAACAAAACAAAAAACCATGAAGATAAGATATGGTGATTTAAAGGGCCCAAAACAGGAGATGAATGGGACACTCCTGGTCAGACACACCAAAATTTACACAGATCAGGGGCTCTGTGGATATTCCAAAAGAAGTTTCTTCTCATGTGACACTACAGATTGCCTGGCTGGGAGCAAGTCCAAACCAATCCTAAAGACCTTCCTACCAAACCCTCCTCCTCCACATGTCTGCAGAGCAAACAGAAATCCTATGCTCAAGGCCAAAGGTTAGGAAGTCTGCAGGGCACGAGAAGGAATCTGGTGTAAGAATGCCAGGGCTGCCAAATACATTTGAACATTAATGAACATTTGTTGAACCTAGGTAAAGGGGTGGCGCTTTCCAGGAAACTGGATTACTGACAGGAAGCCGGGGAGAGAACACCTGCCCACCCTTAGGCTGGGCTTTTCCTTAGCTGCTGGAAATTGGGTAAGAAAGGCTCCTGCCTTGGCTCGCCCTGCTTTCACATCTATTGTCTGAGGACCTGAAGTTGAAGGTGGAGAGAAACCTTCCTTGGCATTTACACTGTGCTCTAAGAGAAAGCAGACATGGCCATATGCATATGGTGGGCACAGCCCCTCCACTTCTAGGGAGTGCCTGCCTCTCTATACCTCCTGAGTGTTGGGATTAAAGGTATGCACCATCACCACAACCACCAGCAGCAGCCTAAAGTTTTTTTTTTTAAATGCCCTAGATTTGAACTCGCTAGTTTTTGTATAAGTGACACACTTAAAACAAATTCAGAAAACTTAAGAGGAGCAAGAGACAATGAATGATATGTACTGTTTCAATCTTAGAAAAGGGTTCCCTTTTTATTATTTCCAAGATTTGGGGAACATTATTTTTGCATTTTTGGGAGGGCGATGGTGAGGAGGTGAAGGGGTCTCACACCATAGCCCAGACTGTCCTGGAACTCACAGCAATCCTCCTGCCATAACTCCCCAGTTTCTGAGATCATGGGCATTAGCTAACACACCCAATCACAAAGGTTTAAAAGTTCATGAGAAAGTAGGGAAACAGAAATACACATCATTAACAAACATTGCATCGCAGAAAGACTTCTTATAAAATGCTCCTTCCTAAGCCTCCTGCTGCCGGTGGGTCCATGGGAAACACTGAAAAGAGGCAGGGAGGCAGCCCCCACTGGACATGGTGATTTCACTTTAAGAACACACTGGAACAATCTCCTGTGCCATCAGTGTGACTGTGGTGTGCCCTTCCCTCTGGCTAGTAGTCCAGAGTGAAGTCAAAGGTCTCAAAGTCTTTCTGGAAGTTGCAAGCTGCGGCCTCCTCCTTGTCCTTACTGGTTTGACACTGCCTCCTGTCAGCCTCATCAGGAATGTTGAGAATAGCTTCTCTGGCCAGGACCTCCCTTCCAATTTGCAAAGGATTCCTCTTTTTAATTCTGTGGAAAAGTTTTTCTACTATGTCAAGTTCAACATAAAAATACTCTGCTCCCGACTGGGCAATCTTGTTTGATGTCTGAGGGCTCTGCAATTCCAACAGCTCTATCTGTTGCTCCTGGGTGAGATGAAGGCATCTTCAATGTCATCTGTCACACAGCAGCTGAGGGGCACAAGAATGACCAGAAGCTGGAGGTGATAGTTCTTACAATTTCTTGACTCTTAAAGAAGCGTTTCAGAGTAACCTTATACTTCACCATGTCTTCAGCCACCTCTGCCAAAAGCTCTGACACTGACTGGTGGTGTCCAATGGGCAGGATGGGTACATGGTCATCAAAGAAGCCTCCTTTGGCCAGGGCGAGGTAGTGTGCCAATGATGACCACCAAACGCTTTCCATGTCACAGCTGGCAGAGCAAAGCCAACAAAGTCCTGGAGGAGGCTTGTCATCTCTTCCTGTGGATGACATTTTCTTACCTGCTTTTCATTCAAATCGAACAGATTGACAGGCTGGTTCTTCCTCAGGGGCAGAGATTTGCTACAGCTGCTTGCTTCCCAGATTTGCCGTAAAGGTTCTCAGGGACATCCAGAGGCCGCCTTACCAGCTCTGCTACGGCCATCGGCTTCACAGGACCAGTACCGAATGCATAAAGATCCTTTTCCTTTTCTGGATTTCCAACATTGGCCAGTGCTACGAAGCAAGTGGTATGCCCCACACCTTCTTGTAGAGCAACATGCTTTCCGGTATGGAAGTCTCTCGTTATACGAATTTTCCAAAGCAGCAAAATGAAACTTTGGTTTCAAGGTTGAGTCAAGGCCAGGGACTAAAGCAGAGACTCAATTTTTGGTATCTACTTCTCCAGAGGAATTCCAGAGGACTCCACATACTTGGGTCATGGGGACATGGGCAAGATATCAACATCCTTAAACTGGGATGTGGAACACAGTCTTGTTCCCAGGGAAGGTATATCCTTGGGACTAAAAGTGTACCCTAGGACTGGTTAAGCTAAGGATCCTGTCCTACTGGGGTATACAATCTGCAGCCCTGAGCTTCCAGCGAAGGTGACACCTTTTCGACCCAGGTAAGTGATGTTTACAGCGTAATTCACACCCATCGATACCTTGGAAATAATTTACTGTTTCTTAGTTATCAACATCAAGCATGTATGTCTGCACAGGAGCTTGCTTGTTGCCAGTCTGAAACTTCTCCTACTCAGCATCTCGGGTAGAAACAAACAAACAAAAAATTCCTACACACAAGAGTAGGTCAAAATTCCCAATCAATTCTTCTCGATTGTCTGAACTCTAGTCAACAGAACATCAAACTTTCCTTCAACATCTCCACAAGTCAAGAGACGCAGCGGGTTCTGAGCTGTCAGCAATGACAGTCTGCGCTGGGTCAGCTGCCCAAAGCTAGGAGCACAAATGAGCACTCAAGGTTGGAATGCCAGTGATTTTGTTTTTATAGTCCTTAATAGAATGTATACAGACATACAACTTAGTGCAAATAAGAGATGCCTTTTTTAAAAAAGAAAGAAAAAGCATTAAAATAAAAAAAAATAGATGCAATGCACAGGTATAGGGAGAGTATTTCAGACATGAAATTGGAAGCAAAAAAAGAAAAAAAGAAAAAAAAAGAAAAAAAGGAAAGATAGCTGAAGGTCACCTGGTATGTATAATATATGTCTTATCCCAATGTTCTTTTGTGTGGTTATGTGAAGGAAGCAGGATGAGCTGCCTGGAACCAGGAAGGTCTTCCTGAGTCTGCGGGACTCACTGCCCAGAATCACTATACAATCAAAGGCATTTCTAGGAAAAGGCACCTGCAGGAGCAGCTTCCCCTGTGGTGAGCTACTGTGCATACAGTACTCTAGCTCCTGAGTACTTTCACCTTCCAATGGCTTCTTAACTCCAGCAGACAGGGACACACACAAGCACTGACTTAAGGACAAAACAGAAACTCCAGGAGGCTAGAAAGCTGCATGAGTCAAGAAGGGAAATTCCTGATTCTGCATGAGGATGGCTGGTCTATAAATGCTCCTGAGAGTCCTCAGGTTCAGCCTTCCTACTGCTCTCTGCAAAGAAAGATCATCAAAGCTGAGGAGGAGAGCCTGCAGCGCTGAGATGAACAGGAAGGGCACAGCCATAGCCCTGGCTGTGATCGTCTGGGCTGCAACCACTCAAGGTATACAGAATCCTTTGCTTCTGAGTCTCTGCTCCTTATGTTACTTTTCAAACGTCTTTTCTCTAAAATATACAGTGTTCTAAATTTACTTAACTCCACATATTAGAAGTTCTACCAATGGCAGCAAATGTTGGAAATCTTTCAAGAAAATGATTATTTTATGGATTTCTTAATTTTCTGACAATTATCTAGCAAAAGCCTTTGGCCCTCAATGTCTGTTCAGAGAATCTTATGTGGCATTATGTTGGTATCCTGGAAAAAAATAATGTTTTAACCATGAGACTGCTAATTTATTATGACCAATACTTTCAGAATAGAGAAAAGGAAATTTCTCTCTGGGGCAATGGTCATAAAAATGTCCTACGTGTTTGATCAATGTGTCACTTGAGGGCAAGAGTGATTTCAAGGTAGTGTGGACACTGACAACTCTCCATAAGCCTTCCCCAAAGAATACTGTTTCTAAGTAGAAGCACTATCAACATGTCCCATGACTGAACCTGGAACTGTGGCTCCTGTGGCCTGAGGGTTCTTATGCACTTATCACAGCAGACCCGGGCTAATGAACACATGAAGTTAATGTGGCACACCAAGCCATTTTTAGAACTCTTGCTGCTCTTATGAAAGAACAAATCTTTGTGGTTTCCTTGGGAGCATCTGGAAGCTCTCAAAGACAGTTTCAACTGTGGAAGACAGTTTCAACTCTGGTTTATGATACTTGGTCTTAATCTAGAATTTGAACCCGGAAAGATAAAGATCAAAAGAATTATTAACTATTTGCTCATTTAGTAAAGAACAGATCACCAGCGACTGTGAACTATACTTGTATACCCATTCAGTCAGTCATAAAATAATTCAAAATAAATACAGAAGAAAATAGCCACTTTGTTCTCTGGGTTGCTGTATACTGTGTAGGTGTTATATAAAGTAATCAAGTGCTGGGCTAGTGGAATACTCATACTGTAATATAACTTCAGCACTTGGGAGGCTGAGCTGAGGTAGAATAATGCCAAGATATGGGGCCTGCTAGGTAGTGAGTGCTTCAAGTTCAAGGTCATCCTGGACTTTGTGGCGACTGGAGGTAAACCTGGTCCAAATAGCAAGCAAATCCTGTCTGCAACCTACATTAAATAATTAACAAAAATTAAGGAATGAAATAATCAAGGATACAGCAAATTAGCCTAATGCAGAGGGAAATAAGATAGGGAGATTCAAAAACTTAATTTCAAGCTGCACAGATGAGATTTAACAGAAATGTGTCTGCCACCCACTCCACAGCCCCGACTAACCAATGCTGGGGTCTGTTCCAGGCTTCGTTATGTTCAAAGGGGGGCGCTGTCTTTGCATCGGCCCCGGAGTGAAAGCAGTCAAAATGGCAGCGATCGAGAAAGCTTCCGTCATTTACCCGAGTAACGGCTGTGACAAAGTTGAAGTGATGTATGTGCTGGAGGTGACAAAGGTGTGGGTGTTTTTGTTTTGTTGATGTTTTCCCACGAAAGTTTAAGACTATTTTGTGTCTCCCTTACCAGTGTTACCCTGAAGGCTCATAAAGGACAAAGGTGCCTGGACCCCAGATCCAAGCAAGCTCGCCTCATAATGCAGGTAGGTTGCCAGACAGCCAGGTCGGATGTGCTTTACCCACGAGAGCGCTGGAACACAGAACAGGTGACTGCGGGAAGACCCCGTTTCCATCCTAACAGAATCCGCATGAAGCACACAGTTAAGGGGTCCTGGGTTAAACCTGGCAACATCCTTTCCCCACCACTGTTTTTACAGTTCAGCTCTTAATCACTGAGGAAATGAAACAACCCACTAAGTAAAACTCTCCATTTTCTCATTACAGACAATAGAAAAAAAGAATTTTTTAAAGCGTCAGAACGTGTGACATCCTGGAAAAAAAAGGGGAGGGGCGGACGAGCATCCTGGGAGCTTCTGACTTTGAGCTCTTCCAACACGAACTCTGCGCCAGGAACCCAACCCTCTCCTGTCTTGGAATATGCATCCATAAAAGTTGCAGAACTTTCTAGGAGGTCTGATACGTCTAAACTGTTCTGCTTGGTTATGAAAATATTTATCTCTAAGAGTCACGTGTTATGTGTGTACACTCCGTGTTACCTTCTGTGGTTACAATGGACGCATTGTTACTGGAGTCCAGCCCAATGCTGGATTCAAAAGTATTTATGTGTGTAGGAAAACATTCCTCAAAGAATTTTTCATGCAAATAAACATTCCTTTCCCGAAATATCACGAGGTGCACGAACATCTAGGAAGACATTTCCATGTATCATCTTGTTTGTTCATTTAAATAGACTATCATTCATGAGGTGCCCTGAAAACATTTTCTGCCTTGTAGAAACTATTAGGAATACTACTGTTTCCTGAGTTAGTCACACTGGCTTCCCACTGAGGCGTGCTAAAGGGGTTAGGACATGTATTTCCTGTACATCTGGTTTTATCTGTTTTATCAGTGACAATAATCTGGACAGATTAAAAAAAAAATAAATTGGTTTTGCTCACCAACGAAAAATGTTGAAAAAAAAATCTGTGCACTTCTTTCAGTCTTTTTTCTGTGAGTCTCTTCATAGTTGAGAAAACTAAGCAAACATGTGCTTTGCTCCTTTCCTTTGTCATACTGTGAATGGTAGGGATGGCTGGCACTGTCTCTCCCTGAAAGGAATAAGAGCTGTGTTTCTCTAGTAAGCCACTATAACTCTTATTAAATCATCAACAACTGCATGCTTTCTGGACATTGAGATGCCTTTAGGGTTTTTTGTTTGTTTGTTTATTTTTGTTTTTTTTAGAGGTACACAGGTACTTGCCATCATGCAGAATTCTTTAGAAATATATTTCATGCCTTTAATCCCAGTACTTGGGGGGCAGAGGCAGGCGGATCTCTGGGGGGTCCAGGCCAGACTGGTCTTTCAGAGCAGCCAGGGCTACCCAGAGAAACCCTATCTTAAAATAAAAAGAAATGCCCAAATGTTAAACAAAAAGCAAAAAGAAAAGAAAAAGGGATGGACTTCAACGGTAGTCATAAAGAAATCTATTCAATTTAGGGCTGAAAGGGATTCTTCGTAGTCGCTTCACAACCACCCCCTGCACCTTTGTTAAATCTCTCCTGTTGTAACTTTTTGAGCTGAGCCAAAAAGGAAAACTGAAAGGAGATTTTCTGTCACACACAGCAAAGACCCAGCCAGGCTGTGTGTACTCAGACTTTGAACCTCAGTGACACACAGACACTGACAGGGAGACCTGAAATAGCAACAGTGACACTCTTGCCAGTAGCTCCCTGACACCCGGCTTGACTTTGTCTGGTGCCTTCTACCCAGCTCCCTTGTGTGTGTTCATTTTCCAATTGTGACTGTCAGTCCATAGCTGCATAAACACGACACATCCAAACGTGGAGTAACTAAAACAAACAAACAAACAATCTGGCAACAACACAGGACCTCTAGATCCACAACAACCAAACTCAATTCAAAATTCAACACAAGGCCAAAGTGTAGCTGTGTCTTCCCATGCTTCATTACAAATTGTCACGACTGTTAGTAATATTCTGTCTAAACTCCACCGGCCTCTACTTCTCTCTTCTCTCTTCTCTCTTCTCTTCTCTTCTCTTCTCTTCTCTTCTCTTCTCTTCTCTTCTCTTCTCTTCTCTTCTCTTCTCTTCTCTTCTCTTCTCTTCTCTTCTCTTCTCTTCTCTT